TGATTTAGGGCGACAGGCCGGCCAGCGTCGGCAGCAAAGGACGAACGCACACGGCGCACCGGCGATCTGCGAGACGGTCGGCGGGCTGGGATACTAAAACGGGCGGCGGTAGCAGAGGTAACGTGGCGGTCAACAGCGAAGTGAGGTAGCCTCGCAGCGCTGCTCGCCGCCTGAGGTCGTATGGAATATCGGAAGCGCTATTTAGCTGCCTCAGAATAGCTGAATGTAATTACAGGTGAAATCAGACTGAGTTTTGTATGTATGTAGAAGCAGCAAATCCGGTAGAAGCAGAGACGTGTGGACACATACCTATGTGGCATATTTTCATTGGACATTTCGTCAAGTGAGCTTTTGATGAGCGATGACGTTGGGCTTATATTTGATTCGATTTGATTTTTTAAAGAAGGATTATGTTCTTTGAATGACAAACCTTTATTTGAATTCTTCAACAAACGATGCAAAACGATCTGTCGTTAAATAAACCATGAAATTCATCTTCATTTAACTAAACAGCAGCTTCTTGGGCGGCCATTACGAGTTCCGTGTGAGGTAACAAAGTGTGTTAACCATGACACATGGCACAATGGCTCTGTAACTGCACAAGAGCGCGCCGCGGCAGCGATGACGAATTCCCGAGGCCGGCCGATACTTGGGTGATGACAAGGGTAGCAATCGGACCACTCATCACATACAATTAGAAATGATTAACCGGCCGACACAAAGCAGACTTCTGCTATCGCATGCGAGCCATGTTCAGGTCACGTAGCCGTGAACAAAAGGCTGCACTACAGAACATGCATCGCAACACTTAAGTGGACAAATGCACAATGAAAGCAATGCCCTTTGCATGTTAAATAGATACCAATTTGTGCGAATGCCTGCATGTATCTATTAGTACGCGAGTCATATCCTTCAGATGACTCATATGCAAGTTATTCTCTTGCTTTCGTAACTCCGTATCCGGCCCGCAGATCCTTCAATGATCTCAAGTGTACCGCGCTCCAGCAGTATGCGAATTCCGAGCCATAGCATAGCACGCTACGAGAACAATTGGCTTGCGTGTCGACTTGGATTACCTGCGTTTGCTTTATCAATTGTCACCCACAAAAACGGTCGGGCCAAGTTTGTGACGTGCTCATTTCTCCCTAATTGCGAGAAACAATCACGATGCGGCGATAAGAGGTAAACAGCAGAAGAAGTGCGGCGTTTTTGCCGTGTTTCACGGGCTGAAAGCTACTGATCGGGCGACTGACGAGCACGAACGACCACTGCACGCGCGGCGCACAAACAAAGGGCTGAGGAACGAGTCAAACCGACCGGCTAAACCAACCACCTGTCCATCTCAAACGTCAAACATAAAGCGCTGATCAAAATGAACCCATCCACGCCGATAAACGCAAAGAATGCCGGGTATTATCTTCATAAGCTTCATCAAAGTATGCGAGATAGATTGCATCATTTAACTCTGCTATCGTTTCGAGAAATTGACCAGTCAGTCGCATTCGTGCTTCAAAAAAATGTATCAACAACTCCAAAGATATTATGGATGAATGTTGAGTGGTAGCATTTAATGAATTACTACATAACTGAGTTTGTCTGCCATTGCCAGAAAATAAATATACGGTTCAACGCTCCAAACTTATTTCATCGCAACTTGGAAAAACTTACAATTTATAAAAAAGATATTTTAATTTGGCAAATAAAATTATAACAAAACAACGGATGAATTTAATTGCTTAAATTGTTCATTCGAAATATCGCTTCTGGAATTTCCCTTATCACGAACAAACCGCATTCCGTAAGATCTACATTTGAATCCCACAGTTTCTGACCTTTGAGCAGACAATCGGCGATCAGCTATCCTCAGAACAATCACACTCGCGGCTCGCGCGCGCGCACTGACCACAGGAACGCGGCGCGGAGACTGCACTCGACGGCGGCGCACCGGCCACTAACACCGGACACTCGCGGCCGGGGCGTCAGGGCGCCGGGCGCCGGGGCGTCGGTGGGGCGGGCAGTGGGACCTCCCGGCCGCGCATATAATAGCTAGAGTGGGCTGAGACTTTCAGGAGTCTCCGCGAACACTTGTTGATGTGTTGATGCCGATTACGTATGTTGTTCAATAAAATGTCGTTACATATCGCACATGCTCAGCTTGTAATCGTAAGTTTACCGCTGCTTCTCCTTGGCCATCTTTGATGGGTAAATCAATCTGTGATACTAAACAGCCGAAGTACTGATTGAGCTTCATGTCCGTTTCTCAGGCCGTTGGCAAAACGAAATGAAATTATTTCATGGTGTTTTCCTCCAAGTGGAGGAAATTCATTCAAACTCACAAACGCGAATTCATAAAATGGCAGCCAATTATAGCCAATTTTACCACAAACGGCACTATTCGACTCACACAATCACGCTAAATAACCAATCACCAAGCACTGAGAGGGTATTTAACCTCGAATGCCTACAAACACCTGTAGGCCGGTAAATTATACACCGGTCTGCTAAACACAGACCACCTCGCCTGATTGTGACGAGTTCATGACAGCGCGGCGAACGGTTCAGTTAGTCGGTTACTCGGAATCCCACCATTCTCCCACCATGGCGGGATCTCCCACCGGATTCGGAGTTCCGTGGAATCCCTCACACTGAACCGAGACCGTCGGGGTCTTGGGATACTCTCTAGATTACGCCCACAATCGCTGCCTCCATGGTGAACAGGACAGGGCTGGTTAGCGACGCCTCACTGCACTCTGTAGATAGTGACCGGGCCGGTCTGTGACCAGCGGCGACTATTCTCCGTAAATGACCGCTACCTCACACGGAGAGTGTCAAGTCTAAATTGTTCAGAGTCAGGCCCCATTGATGGCAATAGCTCAAAGGTCATTTTCATTTACATGAAACAGTAGCGCAAGACCCAAGAAACTGAAGACACACCCACCAAATAAAAGCCCAAATTTAAATGTTTGATGTCTCAATAAATCAATAAATCAACTGACCTGTCAAGAACAACTACCAAACAACCGTAGTGGTGTATATTAATGCTCATGTCATCAATAAAAATCCAATTAATTAAAACAGCACGATGACACTGATAAGCAATTAGCTCAACACTGGAAGGTAGCACTGAGTGTCTCAAATAGTTTAGTGACATAAGATCAGATTATTGGTCACGTCCCCATTCCAAACTGTCAGTCAGCGCTGATCATGATGCCTTTCCGTAGCAGGCAGTGACGGCGAAAGGGAGGCGGCAAGGCGTTCTTTTGCCAGCCCTCTGACTGGGCCGGACTCGACCCTCCACGATCTGCGTGAGATTCTCAATCGGAGATGTGGTGATGCTAGAGCATCCCATTACATTCTGTGATTGAGCACAAATTGTCTGTTCTGTGTATTTCTACTTCATTCATATACTACATTTGACCTGCTTCTCTGCAGTAGAAAGCTAAGACAATATCGTGTCGCGACAGGTACGGCCCACTTTTTTAAATTTAGACCAGACAAACAAGCAAAATAGAGCGAGATAGGCAAACTGGTGCCGGAACACGATTCCGCAAATGTTTGGCCTTTGCTAAAGTTCGACATTTCATTTTGTTTGCTTATCAGATATCGCAAAATGCCTGCGTATGTTTATTTGCCCTCCACGCGCGGTATAAAACTTCGTCTTAAGTTCTTAGCGTCTGGGAATGCTGCTTGCTTATACAAGCGTAGCTAGAATTTGGTAAAACAGTTGCTCAAAATTAACTCCCAGTGAGGTTTGAAGTGGGTGGTGGTGCATTTGTCCGACGGTTTTCACCATTAAAAAGCTGAGTCGCCACTGCCAGCCGTCAGGAATATTAAATAATTCCGCCACTGACAGGTGTCAGACCCAGAGCTGTTTTCTGCCATGCCTTATCGCAGCCGAACATCTAAGGCACGCAGCGCGACCTCTCAAATGACGGGCACTGAGCTAGCAGCCTACAGCATTGCGTCAACGCATGAGCCGACTCGACGTGGCGGCGAAACAAGAATGCTCATTGATGAGCAATGACAGCTTCGGAATGAGCCCGGCATACCTGGCGCATACCTCTTAAATCACTCCGGTATAATCATATGCAGCATAACGAAACAAGACACATCGTTTTATGCATCATATCTACTCTTCTGCGCTGAGTTCACCGACTGAAGTTGTTATTTATGCCCTCCGCGAGATACAGTAGCTCACACTCATCCGAGTAGAATGGGCGTTACCGGGCGGCTCGAGTGAGCAGCGGGACCCACAGCTCTCCTGGGCCGGCTGCTGTCGGATTGGACATCGCTCTTCCCAGCGGGGGTCGACCACCCGCCCCGGTAGGCCGGGCAAAACAACACATCAACTCGGACCGGGCCGGGCCAGCTCCAGCGCCACGAAAAGGCTCATTCGAGTCGTGCGATGGACGGATGAAGACTGTTTCGAGGCGGTTGCGTGCCACTTTTACACCCTGCAGCACGCTGTAGATACTTAAACTGACGTGTTTTGTGGTGCCGGCTCAAATTGAGTTACCCGAGGTAGCGGAAGTTTCAACTGAGTGGTTCTGACGCTGAAGACAGCCGGCCGGACGGGCTGATATCTGGGACAGGGGTGGTAAAATGTTCTGTCTTTATGGATGACGCCGGGGACAAGATATGGCTTCGGAAAGAGGGCCCGGGGGCGAGATTTCACTTTTTATCGTTTTTTGGCAATCCAGCTGCCAAAATTGACGCTAAAAACAGCGCTGAAATGAAATCCGTAAGTAGTGGAGCTTCAGGTTGTATACTTTTTGCCTTATTCGCCCCTATTTTGTAACGATTATAAATTAGCGGTTGCGTCCAAACTCGTCCGGATTCCAGATCTCCCGACTATTTTTGCGACCGAAAATATGCCATATCTAGTATCCACCCAGCTACTAGTTGTCTAGTCGACACTTGCCCCGGGGCCGCCACCCGGGGCTTCTGTGTTGTTCTGGGCGGGGAACGCGACTGTCTGGACAGTGAGACTCACTGATTTCCCACCGGCGAGTCCGCAGCCGGGGTGCCTTTTAGTAGTAGGTACGTAGGTATAGAATCGTGGATGTGGAAGCTTTCAACTGACAATTTGAAACGAGTTTGCTCTGGAGACGAATTGAAGAAGGGTGATGGAAGGTAAGAATTAGTCATAGATAACTGATATACATTTGATAACTCGCTTTTTGTGTTTGGTGCGCAATGCCTTTATACAGCCTTGGCTATGCCCAACTTCTGCTACCTGAGTAGAATGAGACATGATTAGTTATATCAGGGCTCAGGCTGCCCAGTATGAATCAATAGGTACACCATCAGTGCATCAGTCATTATTCAATTGGACTTGCAATTTGCTAACTGCTAGCCAAGTCAGGCCAGTAGCATGAGCATGGATGAGTAGGTAATCCACCTAGCACCTAGCACTGGCAGTTTGCCCCCTGTTTCACTGATAGTTTCTTGATTCTGAGGTTATTACTTATTGGATATAATGATTCACAGGGCTGCAAGTGCGGAGTTGGTTGTTTTTCAAGTTACTCAGACTTTGACCCTCTGCAGTTGGATCTAGCTTTGTCTCTGACTCAGAGTTAGACTCCAGCTTGACAGCCTGAAGAAAGACCTAGGTGTTTCGAACGCAGAACTGCATGCAACTACTTAATTTTTTTTTTTTTTTGGAATATCAATCATGCACATGCAGCAAAGCACAGTGGCCAATGCCCAGCAATCAGCATCCTAAAGAATTTGAGAAGTGAGAACTAACATTTAATGTCATACCTATAGGTTATAGCTGTTGCTTGGAAAGAATGAGACCAAAAGTCAGCAACATCCCCTTCACTGGTTGGATTTTGGCCACCACTTGACCAGAGTCAGTTGACATCATGTTATTGATTCTGAATCTGGCTGCAAGCAGAATAACTGACTCCAACCAACTCCAACTCTGCAGCCTTAATGATTTGAAATATAAGATTTATTGCTGGCACAAACAACATGTTCATTTTTCAGGTAGCAGCAGTGTCAGTAACTTGTGCGATGAAATTTTGCTTAAGGTTTGCCACCTGTTTCATGTGCAGGCTTTTTCCCATGGCTATTTGTGGCTGATTAACGGCTCAAATAAAAATATCCTGGTGACCAAACCTCTCCTAACATATTGACATTGGTAAAAATTGTTTCAAACCAGCAGGCTGCAATGAGTGCTATAGTCAGAATATTGTTGAATATTTTAAACCACATCAGATAGCCTTCAGATCACATCACATCAACACAGCAAAATTTATCTGTGGAATAGGGGGCATATACGACATACGTACCTAAAGTAAAATAGATAATAATGCTGTGTGGGTGAAATTAAGAAAAGTTGAGTCATGATTCATGATGATATTTTTAACTTTGTGCCTCAAATGGGCATTACATATGGAGCATTACATAAGTTCATCAAATAACCTTGAAAGCAACAAAACTTTGGTATGAGATAGGTGGCAGACCTGGAGCATACAATTTGATTGCTTTGGCAAAGCCAGCAACTTTGCAAGGGAGGCTGAAGGGCCAAAATGGGCATTGTGATAATATTGATAGCATTGGTATGGCAGGGGCCAATGTTAAATCTGTGTCAACTTTGTTAAGGGGACAAAATGGCTTTTGGCTAGGGTAATAGCTGGCCCCGGGGCCTAGTTGGCCTCCCTTAATCCACCAGTGCTACCTGGTCTCCTAGTTGTGTTCCAGGGGGGGGGGGGCAAAGGCCATGGGTGGAGATTCATGAACAATCATCACCTGTTTGTTTTTGTAGTTTATTCATGCAATATGAAAAGACAATAGGGAATGTTGTCATTAGCATATTTAGGGTTACCTATTCTAGTGAAATTGACTGACTTGTTCTAATTTGAGTTTGCCCCTGGCCCTGTATGTACCTAATATTTACTCAGGTGTTCAAAAATAACTCAGAGCTCCAAACCCACAACACCTCTGGCTCTGACTGAATGGTTTAGGCAAGACTTATATGAGTGGTTTGAGGCTCTGGTACACATCTACATAGGTTTCTTTTGGACTTTTGTATGATGTTTAGTCTACATTTTGTGTGCTGTCCTACTGATGTTTCAAACTAGGTGCTTTTTTCAAGTGGCATAGCCATGCCTATTCTGATCCATTTTGCCATTTAGGAATGAATCCATAGAAGTATGCCTTTTCATACTAAAAACGGTCTTCTTTGCTTTCTTGCATATTTTCATTTCTAAAATGCAATACTAAACGTCCAAAGGTAGCAGAATCGATGACATATGACTTGCCTGATATGTTGTTTCAGTAACTTTAGAATCGAATTGCAAATACATCAAGAGTTACTCGACTCTGGAGCACAGCCATGGGCGTCGCCTCCTGTGTGTGTGTGTGGGGGGGGGGGGGGGGGGGTTCGTTCACCGTATCTTCGTCGACTTTTAGCCTTATGGCGTCTGCGTGTAGCGTGAACTGCAGCCTGCGCCGTGTGTTGTGACGCACAGATTGTTCCGTTTTGGCCTGACAGGAGCCGACCGGTCGTTCCGCATCCGCGTGGCTGCACTGCTGGACCTGTACACCGTGTTGGGCCGGACTAGCAGGTGTCTACAGGACCTACAGCAGCTGCCGTGGGAACGCCAGGAGCACACCAAAAGGCTCCGGGAGGAGCTGGACTCCATGACGCACGCCCTGCCGTCACCCGCACCGGCGACGTCACGCGCTGCACCTCTCGACTCGGCTGCAATCCTCAGTGAACTGCAGCGGGCTGACCCGGAAGAGATGGCTGAGCGCTGGCCTTCCCTCGCCCGTTACGCGTCCGATATCGACAGCAGTCTGGTAAGCCTCCGCGACTGTTCATGACTGAACCTACATACGAATATACGAAAGTGTACAACATTAACGTAATACGATTATTGGCCTCTACCTACATGTTAGCATCATTAAGGTTACATCGTTCTGCACTACGTATTCATTCTTCTCAAAAGCCTGCAGGATTCAGAATGCAATGAAATGTGATTCCCATTCTCAGAAACACGGGTATTGGAAGCATATGGAAAACGTACACCACTCGGCGGCCAGCTCCATAGCATTGGAGGACCATAGAAACAATTATAGTCATTATGTGCCGTGGTTAATTGGAGCTTATTTTATCTGTAAAAATGCTCCTCTGCGGGCGGATAGTCTCTATGCTCACGAATCCTTGACCTCTTAAGATAAAAGCACGGTAGTTATCGGGACTGCCCTGTTATTATTCGGTGACGCGGACTCCGCGTCACATGTTCATTGAACATGCTTGCAAAGGAAACATAGGTCTTCAAATCGAATGCCAATAACAACGTTGCGTTCAAACGATGCATTATCGTATGCCGATATGCGACATCGTAATGGAGACACGTTTATAAACATTTCGATAATTTGAATCGAGTGCTTTCTTTGCAGGTAGCGGAGATCTCAGCCTTTTCGCGGGCGCTTGGCAAGCACTGCGCCAAGCGTGGGATGGGGGCCGACCGCCGGGGCGCCACAAAAGGTTCGCACAACGCGAAGCTGCTGAACGCCATGGAGGACGTCCGCACCGTGGCAGACCTGCGGGAGCTCCGACAGTCCCGCTCGTCGGGAGTCTTGCGGTTTGTGGACAGCGCCATCCAACGTCTGGTGGCGAGGCGGATCGTCCCGGCAGGCGTCCCGCCGGCGAGTCTGAGACTGGCGTACCAGGCTATCCAGGACACAAGGGAAGGGCTCACCAACCAAGAGCTCTTCAAAGAGCTGTGGAAGGCCTCAAAAACTCAGCCGGAGCTCCAGCCCTTCCTCAGCCTCATATCACGCCTCTGGCTCATCAGCCCGGCAGAGAGCGTGGTGGAGAGCATGGGCAGTGCGGTGAAAGAGGTGTTCGGCGCTCACCGTCAGCTTCTTCACGAGAACGCTGCGAAGGAGCTGATAGTGAGGTGGAACGGTCCGGACATGTGCAGTGCTGACGGTCTCATTTTGGAAGTGCAGCGGAGGCATAAATTCAATTTCACACGCTCCGCTATCAGCATCACAGCAGCGACAGAAGGTACCGTACTAGCTCGCCATAAAACCAAGAAGTGCCCGCGAGAATCCTTCTTTTATTTCAACAAGACCAGGTGAGTCCAGCTATCACGCCTCATGTACTCACATGATGGTACCGTCAGCACTGTACCTGTCCGGATTATTCAGACGGAGAATGGGCGGCGAAAGCACGAAGTCGGAGTCATCTAATCAGTGTATAGTGTAATTGCGTGTAATTGCATATTAAGTGTATTCATCGCGTATACTGCAATGTTTCGTGTTCGTTTTTTTAAAGACACGCAACCTCAGGCCATATTATAGGCAGGCACTGTTCACCTTCCCTTCATGTGACTTTAACTGAGATAGCAGTTTGGGCAGTAAGAAACCCTAATCAGAATGTCCCACGGTCCTACGAGCTCATTCGCCGAAGATATTCAACTTCAAATGTTGCGATTTTGGCCGTACGCAATTTCCGCTATCCTATTCAGAGTCAATTATTTCCCTTACGCAGTATAACCGCCACCTGTGGTAGAGGCGAAAACGTAGTGCAAGTCCGTGCAAGGCTTAACACTAAATAAAACTTTTTGTAGTTCGTAATTATTTTGCATTCTGATCAGTTTAAACCAAAATCCCATTCAAAACTAATGGAAAATACATATTTTCCAAAGGTGAACGGTTTCCTTGTCTCAGTTTCGGTACACATTGCGACAGTTTTCCACTGTCGATCAACATTGCTGTAGTACGCTTGGAAGTACGTACGTATGCATGCAGGCTCTGTCTGAATTATGATATGTATGTTGTAACGCAGATGCGTTACATTTTTTCATCTTTTATGCTGAACTGCAAGCTGTGCCACAAGCTGAAACACGGCCATCTGCGAGCGCCGCACAGACACGGTCAGCCGGCTAAATCGGCTGTGATACCCGATCTCCGTCCCAGCCGGCGTCCACAGAAACGGCGCAGCCGGCTTTGACAAACAGGGGTCCCCTATAGATGACCACCCCGCTTCATGAGAACCCAGCTTTGAAGTCGACAAATAGCATACCGAAACGCGCCATTCGGCCCGTCTCGAACCATTTATCAGTTTAACCTTTGGAAAACAAGACAATGTCCCACGCTCGGCACCCCGCCAGAAGAGAAGAACAAGGAGAGGGGAGTGCAGACCGGCCCTGATTTGAACCAAACAAGAAAGGGGAACGGGGACCGACCCGGTTTGTACGAAAACAGGATGAAATGGAACTCGGTCGCCAACGACAAAATATAGGACATCTGGCCGGAGCTGGCTTCAAAACAAGGGGAGTAGAGGGTCAGCCCCGCCACCTGGCGCCCCAGACGCCGTGATCGCCGGCGGCGAATTCCACCCGACCGCTGCGTGAAAGTGTGTGACTGCCATGGACGGGGGTGCCGAACTTCAGCAAATCACGAACGTTTGAAGGCGGAGCCAAACGCACTTTCTGAGAATGGAGGACGAAGATTGGACAAGGAGATGCTGCCCGGCCCTCTGAAGTATGACGTCATCAAAAGTATAAGTTGATGAAACGGAACTATAACCGGCTCTCTGGCTCTCTCTCGGACGACGGATTCCACGCCGCTCTTCGCTCTCGGCTCACATCTGACGCCGTGGACAGCCCACGAGACACCAGCGGCTGGCATCACGGCGCCGGCGGCGGCTCTGGCCGCCGGGCCGGGCGCTGGACGGACACGACCATCATGTCAGCGACTCCATCTCAAGTAAGGTCACGCGGTGAACACGGGTGCGCACCTAGTCCCTAAATCCTTTAAGTGAACCCCCCCCCCCTCGTTACTGCTATGTGAGCCACATTATGTTTCCTTTTTTTGGTGTCGTTGCGCAATAATTTAGGCCATTCAGTTTAGGTAGTTCAATTTATTTTGAGAACCTTCAGTCTAGGTAGCTTGATTTAAAAATCCGATTTCGGTCAATTATTTAGCCCCGCGCGGATTAACTATGGGCGTGGTGCGAGACGCGTGCCGACGTGGAGTGGACCCTCGTCCGGCGCCCCGTGGTGATTAAGGCGGATGGAGGGGATTATGCTCCGTGGGGAGTCGGGAAAGGGACGGGCGACTGGATACCGTACCGCGCGGCGTGTGGGGCTCAGTGATGGGCGGTCTGGTCTCTGGTCCCAGAACGTTTTCTTTAAAATTTGGCAGGTACAGGATTTGAAAGTATTGTGTCAGCAAGAATGTAAATAAATGTGACTTGTAAATATTGTAATACGAGTGTAAAGAGTGATGAAAGGAAAGGACCGGAGAGTAAAATGTCACAGACCATATGCCATCTACACAGCCGGAGAGGGAGTCGTTGCGGGAGAGGAAGTGGTTTCGAGGTATACAATTCGCCATAGTATTTGGTAACAGAACAGTTCTTCCTGTCTGCCTGGTTCTCAAGGGACATCCAAATCCGATAGGGCCCAGGTAGTTTATCGAGCCCGTGGGGCCCGATACCACCAAACGGGGGGTGGAATCCGTCGTCACAGCCGTCAGTGATCGGCTCAGTTGGGGTCAGTCCAGGGGTGGGCCCAATTTTTCTAATCTCGGAGGCCACGACAGTGGCCAGGCTGGCCTCAAACATCTGAACCGATTCCACCCCTTATTGTCGTCTGGTCAGTGCTGGCCGGTTACCCTCCTGCCTAACAGTGCCCGCACAGGAGCTGTTCATTCTCCTGCCTAACAGCGCCCGCACAGGAGCTGTTCATTCTCCTGCCTAACAGCGCCCGCACAGGAGCTGTTCATTCTCCTGCCTAACAGCGCCCGCACAGGAGCTGTTCATTCTCCTGCCTAACAGCGCCCGCACAGGAGCTGTTCATTCTCCTGCCTAACAGCGCCCGCACAGGAGCTGATCATCCTCCTGCCTAACAGCGCCCGCACAGGAGCTGTTCATTCTCCTGCCTAACAGCGCCCGCACAGGAGCTGTTCATTCTCCTGCCTAACAGCGCCCGCACAGGAGCTGATCATCCTCCTGCCTAACAGCGCCCGCACAGGAGCTGTTCATTCTCCTGCCTAACAGCGCCCGCACAGGAGCTGTTCATTCTCCTGCCTAACAGCGCCCGCACAGGAGCTGTTCATTCTCCTGCCTAACAGCGCCCGCACAGGAGCTGATCATCCTCCTGCCTAACAGCGCCCGCACAGGAGCTGTTCATTCTCCTGCCTAACAGCGCCCGCACAGGAGCTGTTCATTCTCCTGCCTAACAGCGCCCGCACAGGAGCTGTTCATTCTCCTGCCTAACAGCGCCCGCACAGGAGCTGTTCATTCTCCTGCCTAACAGCGCCCGCACAGGAGCTGTTCATTCTCCTGCCTAACAGCGCCCGCACAGGAGCTGTTCATCCTCCTGCCTAACAGCGCCCGCACAGGAGCTGCTTATCCTCGTCAGGTCAGCACTGGCCGGGTCATACGTTCCCATTTTCCAACCCAGAGCGGCCTCAATTAAGGAGTTTCCGCTCAGCCTGGTCCGCACTGGTCGGTGGCTTAACTTTGAAAAAAGGGGTGACGGTTGAGGACGAGAACGAGAAAGACGAGTTGTTAGTTCGAGCTAGAGTCTCAGTAAATCATCCCCACTAAAGTCAACCCGCACCTAAGATGAATAAGGGACTCAGAGGGGACAGATAATGCACGTCACGCCCCTGTGCGTGGAAAGTCCGCCGACGCGGCTACGGGTTAGGAGGGAGATGAGAAGCGAGTGAAATGAAAGAAGACTGTACACGGAGAGGAATCGGATTTCCCAAATGAAGCTCAGCTCGGATAGACCCCACTAAATAGTAGGCCTCGCTTGGTTAAGCCCTGGATGCGTGCAATAAGTCGCGAAGTGAAGAGAAAGGGTGAGAGCGAGTTGAGGATCGATTATTGAGGATGAGTGCGTAGCCGACGAAGGCTAATCCGTTCGGTTGCCGGCGCGGGCCCCATAAAGCCGTGGCTATACGGAGACGATGCAGGCAGCCCGGAGGGACCTAGTGACCCCGCCCGGTTTTAAAAGATAGGTTAGGTCCGCTATCGGTCCATTGAGTGATCAGCGCAGGATGACATTCGATAAGCGACGTAGGTAGTCTCGGAGATGGTTAGGACCCCAGGCGTCCCAGCGAGGAGACGTATGCCGCCGGTTAAGTAATGTCCCGCGAAGAAACGTGTGATGCTGCAGGACGGGGGTGAACATTAAATACCAAAGCATGTGAGTCGGGTGATCGCGGTAAGTCGGTACTGGCCACCCCGCTGTCAGTCGATTTACTCCGGCCGTGCAGCGGTCATTTCGGTTAGGTCTGTGACGACAGCTTAACTACCAGCAACGGATAGATAGGGCTTCGGGCACCTATAACGCTGGTAGTCGTGGATTGTGTGAAGCCAACGGAGGCTAACCCGTTCGGTCGCCGGTGCTGTTTCAAAAGCCGTGGCTATACGGAGACGATGCAGGCAGCCCGGACGGACCTAGTTACCCAGCCCGGTTTCAAAGTTTAGATAAGCCCACCGCGGGCCGTGGTACGCTTAGTTTTCGTTTTCTTATAGGCAATTTGGCATACCTGGTAGTCATGGATTCGTGTAAAGCCGACGAACGACTAACCCTTTCGGTCGCCGGGGGCTGGCCCGAAAACCGCGGCTATACGGAGACGACGCAGGCAGCCCGGACGGACCTTAGTTACCCAGCCCCGGTCTCAAATTTCAAATAAGTCCCCCGCGGAAACCGGACTACACAGTGTCCTGCGAGCCGTAGTCTCGGAACCGCTGGCCGAAGGACATTTATGTTTTTGTGTAGGTAGTTCGACATGGTGATGGGATGGACCGCAATAAGTCACGTAACGCGAGGGTCGAGTGCCGAAATCTGTGGTGGGTCGTATCTCTAATTGTGTAGCGTGAGCATTATGAAGCGTTTGTCTGATGTACGGAACATTGTGGTTATGAAGGGATAACGGTTAAATGAAATTTAAGGCCAATGACTAGATAACGACTTTGCGTGCGCCCTAGCACCACCGGGGGAAGTTAGGAAAAAGAGGGAGGGATCGGAGACGGCTAACTCTGATTATTTTGAGGTATGACTGGACGTATGACAGGAGTGAGAGGGGATGGACAAGTGAAAGTGTGATTGTCGTGTATATCCGGTGGGAGATAGCCCTCAGCTAGGACGGGTGCCGTTGTTAGGAGTTGGGATCTGTTAAGTAGAGTTAATTTCTTATTTCAATGTGATCAAGGAAAATTGGTTATCACTTATCACTCATCCCATCCATCAACCCTAGCCTATGTGCTTCCGATGATTGATCGCCCCGAGGTAGAGTCAGAGTCGGAACGGGTTCGCGAGGGGCTGGATACAGAGAAGGGCCTTTAGGAGCGCACCGACTCAGCTCTCTTGCTCTCTATCTCTACCAGAAGACACTGCCCGGTTCGCCCCGCAACGTCGCGAAACCCCGCTACAGATTTGGCGCCCAACGTGGGGTAGGATCAATCAAAGGAATCATGAAGTCGGTGGACGAACGTGCATTGCCGAACCCAAAGCTAAAATTTCAGAGGAAATGCGAGCGTGAGTGAGAAAGCTCATCAATGTATGTCTTAGCTAGATGCAGTGGGAGCTGGTCACTCAGTGCAGCGTTACTCGGGTTAAATTGATTTGACTGAAATCAGAAAGCGTGGATTGCTGGAGGGTGTGTATATCTGAATGGAGTGATATAGTTAACTTGAGAATCAATTTTCAGTGACGGGCGAGCGGGCTTAGTATTTTTTTTTTGCTTCAGTTATCGTTAAATAAATTTATGTGGCTCACAACTAGCGAACCCTAACCTTGAGTGAAATCCCG